GATTACATTTAACTGCTGTCTGTCCTTCTTGGAGCGGTATCACTGGGACTTCTTATTTCAAAGCAGGTCAACTCGAAAATAAAGTCACAGTGGCCTACCGATACTTTTGAATTTTACTAGTATTCTTTGCCATATCGTTTGAACTTAATTTAATATTTAAAAGCGTAGGATTATCAAATCTTAACAATTAGATGCATCTTAATTATAAGGCTTCATAATATGTTGACCCAAAGTAGGTCACAATAAGCTACTTATAAAAATTAGCTGTTATTCATTTTCAAAATCTTTTATGTGCATATTTAGGACACTGTGAAGCATAGATCTTCGATATACTGTCATTTAATGTACATACATTTTCAACCACGAACATATTCTTTTTCCAATCATTTCTTTTTTCAGATAAAATTGATATTAATACTGTACTCCAAAACATAACAAAATTGTATAGATTCCAATGACTCTCTTACAAATTGTATTTTACTGAACTCCAGCAGGGGTATTTCTTTGAGCTCAAGCTTAGACAATCCTTTGAAATCTAGCAGTGGCAATCATATGAACTCCAGCAGTGACAATCCTTTAAACTACAGCAGTGGCAATCCTTTGATATCCAGCAATCCTTTGAACTCCAGCATTAGCAATCCTATGAACTCCACCAGTGACAATTCTTTGAATTCCAGCAGTGGCAATCCTTTGAACTTCAGCAATCTTTTGGACTCCAGCAGTGGCAATCCTTTGAACTTCAGCAATCTTTTGAACTCCAGCAGTGGCAATCCTGTAATCTCCAGTAGAAACAATCCTTTGAACTGCAGCTGCAGCAACACACTGAACTCAAGCATCAACAATCTTTTAAGTCCACCTGCAGCAATCCTTTGAACACTATGTGCATTTGAACTTCATTAGCAGCAACCATTTGCAGCAGTCGTTTGAATTTCATCAGTCGCAATTCCTTAAGGTCTATTAGCAATTCTGCAAACCCCAGCAACAATTCTATGAATGAAAGTTGCAAGGTTGTGAACCAAACAACAGCCCTATGAACTTGGACATCAGACCTGTGAACTAAGACAACAATTCTCTAAACTTAAGTAAACAGTCCATGAACTTTTGGAAAAATCCTGAAGCACTTGTAAGAATTCAGTGACATCTCAAACTCTATGTTGAGAAAATAGGACTCACTTTTGCTTTCACATGACAGAATAGATCAACATCTGTCACAGGTCCTCTTTCATTTCCCAGGAACACTGAAATTATGAGCAGGTACAAATACACGCATAAAAAAATAAGTTTACCCACTATCTTGTCTTTGATCTACATTTAAATCATTCTATAATTACAAAAGGACACAGCCAGGAGTCTTTTATCGTGGTTTGTTACAATTTCACATGGAATTTCTCCTATTGCTCAAGATAAATGTTTTCAGTACGCAGAAATAAACTCCATCAATTATGCTTGAAAAGTACTCACTGTGGACAATCACCTCACAATAACAAGAAACACACTAGAGGTGTGATGAAATATTTAGAAACACAGAGTTTTATTTCTCATGAAAAATATTCTTTCTTGTGTAAAACAATTGTTCAAATGAAGGGTCAAACCTTCTTTTTAGTGGAGATAAGAATGAGTGAAAATTTATTGGCATTTCAAACATCTTCTTTCAAGAACCACTGGACTTAAAAATTAAGAATATACAGTAAAACACGCTTATAACCAGGTGTCTGGAACAGACGATTTTGCTTCGTTATAATTGTAATTGCTTATATCCATTCAGTTTAAAACATATTTTAAAGTCATGGGGAATGAAAATAGCTTCGCTCTAAGCGTCAATTCATTATAAGCGTGTTCGCTATAAGCATGCTTTACGGTATAAGAAAAAAATCTTTAAAAAACATTTTTTTTCAAGAACCAATAGGTTAGAAAAGTTGAATCTTATGTGAAAGTTTCATTACATAATGTAGAAACAAATTTTTCTTTCAAAACTCTACTCCTCCAACAGTTTTGATGCGACAAGTAGACTGTATTAGTCTACGTATTGTTTTGTCAGTTTTCATCTTCAATCAAATTTTATCCAAGCCGTAACTTGACAACCCTTTGACATTAAGACTTCAAACTTGGGACAAGGAGAGGTGGTATAGAGGTGGGGTTGAAGCTACCAAACTTTTTTGACCTTGACCTTTTGGTAAGATCAACGTCAATCTTTAAGTCAAAATATAGTCCAGGCTATAACCTGAAAACCATTTGACATTACAATTTCAAACTTATAACATATAAAAAGACATTTACACAAGGTGTATTGTACCAACTTTCTTCATTCAAGGTCAAATTGAGAAAAACACCTCCAATTCATAACTTAAAAACCCTTGACAATAAAACTTTAATTTTGGAACATGGCGAGGTGGTTATAAGAAAGGATGCATGCCAACAAAATTTTTTGCCTTGACCCATTTATAAAGTCAATCTAAAGGTCAATCTTTTACATGAAAATATAAATCAGGGCATAATCTGA